TTTTCTGACCTGAGTTTTCTGAAGCTCTGTAGTTTTTTCTGTTGAAAAAAAAAAAAAAAAGAAAAGAGATAAACGTTTATAAAATATTCCACCGGCTCTCTTGGGTTGTTTTCAACCACATCCAAACATTTCACCTATTTATCTAAATGTTGTTATCCAAACATAATTTTACAGGTTTATGCAGTCTGGATCTTTAACCCTTTACAGTTGCTCATTTTGAGTTGCACTTATTTCTGTAAGAATATTGTGATATTCAGTCGGTGTGACACCAGAAGTGCCAACGCTGCTGCTGCTGCTCTAAACAGGATACTTGAGTTTTACAATGTTTACATTAATTACTATAAAAATAAATTTGAGTTATTTTCACAGGAAAGTGATCTCCTTTGGTCTTGGTTGTGTAGAAGAAGCCTCGGCTCATTAATCTGGTCAAAATGAACCCATTTCTCCAAAATGAGGTCATTCAAAGGGCATTTTGCTACAGGTAAGATATTAACTGTTTGTAACTCCTCCTTAGAACCCCACTCAAGCCCTTTACAACTTGACGAGAGGTTTCTTTTTAAAACCTTGAACATACACTCTCCCTGCAGCATTTATCAGGAGGTAAAATGGTAATCTGAGTAAAAGTAAGCTGCCATGCTGAGTTACTTCTGTTCCAAGGTTACACTGAGGACTGGGAGCAAGAACGGGGCTCCTCGTGGCGTCTACTGGCTCTGACGTGCTGCTAACACCAGCACTGGATGTACGCCTACAACTTGGAGTTAATTGAGTTCTGGTACAAAATGGCTGCCATTTAATTAACTGTAGCTACAACTCAAGTTTTACAGATACTGAGCTCAGATGTGGTCTGGTAGTAGCTGAGAGTGATCCCCAACACATACTGTGAGAGCTAAGGCATCTTTAAAAGCTTTTGGCATCAGGCAAAAGACGGGATGAATTTTAATGAAACTTTTGGGACATAATCGTTATCTATCTATCAATCTATCTATATATATATCTATATATATATGTAAAATTCATAACTCATCAGCTTTCAGACCCAACTTAATTCAAGATGGCCGCCACAGTCAACTGAAGCACAAACTTGTCTCCAGCTCAGCCACTTTTATAGATATCGTGCTATAACTATGTAGCTGAGACGGATTCACATGTGGAGATCACCTCACTTTGCCTGTTAGCAAAATATCTCATGACAAACAGGACAGTTTTTAATGAGCAATTCACTAAAACAGCTATAACTTGGGCAAATTTACAGCTACGAAGCTAAAGTTTGGCGTGGTGGTAGCTGAAAGTCTCCCCTAACATATTATGAGCGCTAGTGCATTGGATTAAAATTTTTATTTGAGCAAAATGGTCTTAGATTTGGTCATTTTTAGACGTAAAAATAACGATTTTAGTGTAAAAGTGTGGCATTAAATGCGGCGGGCGATATGCATTCTGCAGTAAAAGGGTAAATGTGAGGGGCAAAGTAAAATTCTTAAGATAAATGTAAAAGGTGCTGGTTCTGAATGTGAAACCGAACCGGGTTGTTTGTTTTTGTTGGTGGCAGAGAGAGAGGGGGAGAGAGAGACGCGCATGCGCACTGGGTGGGAAAAGGCGCTTGAAAACGGGCAGCCATGCCGCTCGGCTGCAGAAAACGGGCTGGACGAGTCCCGCTGGAGGACCGGAGGACCGACCCGGGGGCTGCTGGACCGGGAGGCTGCTGACGGACTCCTCCAACCCGGGGAGAACCTCCTCCAAAGAGCCGCGGCCGAAGAAGAAGGAACAAAAAACGAAGGAGCGCTCGACGAATCTTCTCCTTCCTCCCCGTTTTTATTCTCCTCCTCATCCTCGGCGGAGGCAACAGCGACGATGGCGCTGCGTTAGGACCCGTTCGCCTTGGCTCGTCCGTCCGTTTCCCGTGCCTCCAGCTGACAGGGGGGGCTCCGCCATGGTTTTATCGGCGCTCCGCCGCGGATGGGGATGCCTTCACGGCTGCTGGATGGGGACGTTGCTGCTGCAGCTGCTGCTGTGGATTTTATGCGCCGTGAACGGAGAGGAGCAGCCGTTCAGCGTGGAGGTAAGAGCAGGGAACGAGGAAATAATTATAAAAACAAGAGTAATAAAGGCTGAGGAACGAGCCTCCTGCTCGGTTTTATGAAGGAAACAGGCGCGCGGAGGTGCGGAACGAGAAGAAGCAGAGGCGGACCTAGAGGGATTTTATTCGGGGCAGCAAAGGTGGGGCACGAGGTTCCCCTCAGAAAGGGGGCATGGAAAGTTTACTTTTAAGATGTATTTTAATGCTTCATGTTTTTTTGTTTTTTTTGGTGTAACTTAAAAATCACAACTTTAAGCCTTAATAGCTGCCAAAATACATGATTTTCTGTATTTAAGTTGATTTTTTAAATGTTCTAACTCAACTTTCATCGCTGGTTACAACTATATTCAACAATCTTGGCTCCAGCTCGCCATGTCCTTCCTCAAAATGACTACTTCCATTGACCACAGCTTTTAATTGACAGTTCATTCCCGAAGAGAAATATTAACTTTTCAAGGATTCAAGTATCTTTATTGTCATTCGCATCGCATGTGGTACATGAGGTGGAACGGAATTGTGTACACACAGGGTCCCAGTTCAGTTCTGGGTAAGTTTTGACCCAGAGTCTCGGTTTCGTTTGACTCTTGGGTGTTTTATTTTACAGATTCATTTTTATCAATGTTAGAATGTAAACAATCGGCTCATAAATGTTGGCAAAATAAACAGATTTTGCTCAGGTAATACAAAATATTTGATAAATATTTGGTAGCGAATGATGTATGTAATGCATAAATTACACTTGTACAAAAAAAAATCAAATTAAAAACATTTTCAAAATTGTATATTTTTGCAGAGTTTGTCTGTAACCAAGTGCTGTTGGCCTAAAACTTAATTCATTACCAGATTCAACAAAGCTTACAGTGCGTTGTTTTTTCCTCAAAATGTTGCGACGCAACACTCAATTTAGTTTTTAATACTAAATTAAACTTGATTGTACACTAACTGTGTACAATCAAGGGTGTTAAATTCTTCACAAATTAAAAATAAGATTCTGTCTGAAGACTGGTGTTAAGTCAAAAACCTGTAAATAAATTTGACGTTTTTTTTTTATTGGTCATTTGTCTGGTCTGGACTCTTTACAGAGTAAAGTTGTGCTTCGGTGTAGATAAGCGGCCATCGTTACAGTCGGGAGGACCTGAAACCGTCTTATTGTGAAATTTGTGATTTTAGGATAAAAACTGACGTTCTGTGTGGATATTTTAAAAGTCATATTAAATAGCTTACAAATAACGTGGCAGCTGGGGTGGCAAGCTTTTATTTTTTTGAGGGCAGCTGCCACTCATTGCCACCCCTTAGAGCCGCCCCTGACAACAGACTGACCATCAAAATGAAAGTGAAGTTTTTCTGAGCTCGTTCGTGCTCTCAAATACAAACAACAACTAGGTGGTGATGTTTGTAGCAACGGTCCCCGAAAACATAAAAAAAACCCAGACAAGAATGCCCCCGCCTCTTTCAAGCGCTGCTTAACTTCAACTTCCACGAAGAGAGGTCAGTGGAGCAAATATTTAATCTGAGTGTGTGCCAGATGTTTATGTTTTTAGGGGCCCGACTCAGCAGAAACAGATCTGGGTTTCAGACTACAATCCTTAACGAGACTTTTAGCTGAGCCAAAACTAAAGTCCCTTCTTTAGGGAACCAGCGCGTCAGCGTTCAGCAGGTATTCCTCTTGTTTTCGTCACGGTTTTCTGCAGTTTCCGGAAAAACCCAAGCTAAAAATACATCAAAACGTGCAGCTCGATGGAGAGTAGAGTGCAACGTGGATAGAATTTGCATCAGTTTGCAAAAACGTTCCCCAGTAGACGACAATGGTTTTCAAACGGGTCACAGAGCTGGACTTTAGGTGACTGATTTAGATGTTTGTTTTTATACAGCTGCAGTTTACGTTTTATATTTTTTCAGAGATTTTAGCATAGAATATTCCATTATAAGGTGTTGCCATTCTTTCCAAAACTTTTGCTAGCAGACTCTTTCTACTCCTACATGCTGAACTTTTTAAAACACTTTATACATCAAAACGTAGACATGTTTGTCCACTGTCCCTCAGTGCCGGGACAGGACGAGGCAAACTTTCCATTCCATCCGCAGAGTTTTCTCAGTTCATGCAACTAGACATATGCATGGTTCATTCTGAAAATTGAGTTGCCAGGTCAGGCAGCACGATGGTGCAGTTGGTAGAGCTGCTGCCTCTCAGCAAGAAGGTCGTCGGATCGTATCCTGGTCGGGGGGGTATTCTGAGTGGAGTTTACTTGTTCTCTCCGTGCAGGTGTGGGTTTTCTCCGGGTACTCCGGTTTCCTCCCACAGACCAAAAACATACGTTAGGTTGGTAACTCTAAATTGGCTGTTTGTCTCATTTCTCTCTGTGTGTCCCTGTGATGGACTGGAGACCTGTCCAAGGTGTCCCCCCGCCTCTCGCACAGTGACCGCTGGAAATGGGCACCAGTGACCCCCGTGACCTGAAAAGGAAGAAGCGAGTAAAAAATAATGGATGGATGGATGGAGTTGCCAGGTCAGAATTCAAAATGGCTGCCACCGTATATGTATGTTTACCTTGTGAGATGGATAACGTGAAAAAGAAGTGAGGCACCGACCTCCATTTTGGTGTGTGGTCGCATCTAAGCGTAAAGAAAGGTCACCATCAACAATCTGGTTGCCACGTCAACATTTAAGATGGCCTTCTTCATCCGTATGTATGTAAAGCGATCACCCCGATCATGTGAAGAAACTGTTTTTTACTTTTTATATTGCTTAAGTATAGTTTCCTCAAATGACTGAGGTGGGCAAAAAATTATGTTTGTGGGCCAAAGCCACCATTAGCCACCCCCTGGCACCTGGTGGATAAAACTGCTCCCTCCACTCCCCAGGATCCATCAGTCTGCTCTGCCTCGGTGCAGCCAACCAAACAAAAGCCTGGTGTTCTCCACAGTGACTCCTGAACATCGTACACCAAAAACACCAAGGTCTACTTTCATTCCCTGTCCAGTTCCAGTCCAGAAAAACTCGTATTTTCCGGCGTGTAAGTCGCAGTTTTTTGTCTAAATCTCAGTCCTGCGACGTGTATATACTTTTTCCTTCCATATTCATAACACAATTTTTGACCGACGCTTTAAATTTCTAAGAACTGCAACAGCGAGTCCTCCCGTGTGCGCTCGCTTCACTCAGCTGGTGCAGGCGGAGGAACGCTGGAGAGCTAGCGGCGATGGATGGATGGATGGATGTCAACGGTGATGCTTAATAAATGTGACATATACTCAGGTCTCTCTTGTAAAAGAGTCCCCGAGGCTCAATGGGATTAACCTGTATAATTAAAGGTTGAATGAACAAATGTTTTTTTCCTCTTCATGATGCTTTTTTAACTGATGCAACTTATTCTCCGGAGCGACTTGTACGCCAAAAAATACGGTAATCTCAAAAACTACAAACCTTCACTGTTCAAACCCTCAGACAAAGTACAAGTCTCTAATTATGGTTGGGTTGTTGGGAACATCACTTGTTTTCGTCCTCCGTGTGTCCCGGCAGCCGGTCAAGCCTCAGGTTCCTCCTCCTCTCAGAGCTCCAGGAGGAAGGAGGCTCCTTCATAAACCATTCTGCGTCGAGCTGAATTGTTGTGGATCGGTTTGTGGCTCAGCAGCCGAAGACGGTTTGACTTTTAGATGAGACGAGCGGCGCATGAATGAAGGTGTTTTACAGAAAGACGTTACTGTCTCGGATCCTGTCGGGACGCGGTGTCTCCTACTCCTCAGGTTACTCAGGGGCATGATGGAGGCAGAGGTGAGGAAATACCAGGGAGCACCGCAGCTGCCCCAGAATCAGCTTTATTGTCACTGCACTGAAGCAAAACGAAATTACATTTCACTTCAGCTCGTCTGAGGAACTATAAACAAACAGACATGTGGGGGACAGAGGTGTCTGAGGCTGCGGCCTTCGGGAGGCGCTGCCCTTTTAATTTGTAGATGAGAAAAAGAGAAACATGAGGTATAAAAAAAATCATCTCTCACACTGTGTCCTCGACTGGACACAGTGTGAGAGATGCAAAACAAGACTTCAGCACAGAAAAAGCAACATACAGACATAAGACGTATGCGTGTGGAGTGGGTGGGGGTCCCAGCACAGTGAGCGGCGCAGCCAATAGCTATGTTTACGTGGACATAAGTAATCGGATTAAGCGGCAGTTCAGAATAAAAATACGCCATGTAAACTCCCCACCCGGATTATTCTTTGTTGATTCTTGTCGATCCGAATGAATTTATAATCAGAATGAGACGGGTGGTTTACGCCGATTCAAAATCCGAACGGTGTGCGTGCAAACTCTAGCTATGTTTACATGCGCAAATTTTTTTGACCGGATTGAAATGTTTTCAGATGAAATAATTCAACAGTATCGTTTACATGGGCACAATCTGTTCATGACGAGCGTTTACATGCAGCGGGCTTTGTCCTGAACAGAAGTACCGACATGCACAGAGCGGTAAACTCTCCTTATAAAAAAGTTCTACTTCCGGGATAAACGTAAACAAACCCGAGCGCCCAAAATGGACCCGCGACAGGTTTTAATGACGGTGGAGACGTTCCTTCCTACAAGGTCTGCTTGTCTGGGCCATATCTATAGATGGGTGCGTAATAATTTGTAGACGGACGTATGTGGTGGTCTTGCTTGATTTTAAAGGTTGGTTAGCTGTGGCAGCCATATTGAATTGGGTTGACTCCAAATGCCAATGAGGTGCAGAAGTCCAGCCCTTAAAATCAGTGGTTCATGAGATTATTGGGGGGAATGACTAAACATGGCACCGTGTTCAGACATACTCTCATTTTTATCTTCAGACTTTTAAGTCGACGCATCATTTTGAAAGTGCTGCACAGTCTGAGGTGGAATTAATGTCGTAAGATACAGCTCGACGTGGATACGTGTCTCTGGGCAGAGGAGAACGATGTGGAGCAGCGGAGCCTCGGCTCCACTCGGAGCAGCATCAGGTGCAGCTCCGAG